ATAAGTCAAATGTTATATTTTTAAAATTCGAATTAAGATTGAATTGCTTTTAAAAAAAATTACAACAATCCCAATTTAAAAAATTTGATGGAAAATTTTTAATTTTTTTTACTTTCTTCATGCACTAGTATTTATGTTTTAACAATTAAAAATAGAAATCTCCCATATTTTTAAAATTTCTCTTTATGTAATTAAAATTAATTTTAAAATATTATCATTGTAAAACTCACAAAATTTTATTATTATTATTATTAATTTATTTTCTTCTTCGACAATTCTAAAATAAAGAGGTTAACATATTTCGACTGAAGTTTCGATATTACCATTACCGATATTTTATGTTAATGATGGGTTAAGAGTTTTAAAAAAAAAAAATTGTCAAAATTGAAACCTGAAACAATTAATTCTTGTTTTTTTTAACAATTCAGGTATTAATACACAATATTATTAATCTTGTAATGTTTGTGATAAGTATAGGTAGATGCACTGTAGACTACGTTAGGTAGACATGCTACAGACTATGATAGGCAGACACACTATGGACTACGATAGGTAGACATACTACAGACTACAATAGGTAGACATACCATAGACTACAATAGGCAGACACACTGTAGATTACAATAGGCAGACACACTATAGACCATGATAAGTAGACACACTACAAACTACAATAGGTAGACACACTATAGACTACAATAGGCAGACACACTATAGACTAAAATAGGTAGACACATCCATCTTACTTCTCTTCGAGTACTAATTACCTCCATGAATTGCAGTTATTATTATTATTATTTAACAGGGTCAACATTTGTAAATACCAGCTATTACTGTTATCTTTATTTAACTTAACCATTAAATGATGATGATATTATTATTATTATTATTATTATTTACTTTTAAAAAGGAAAAAAAAATCAAAATGAATCAATTGACTGTTGTAATTAATGGAAAATCATTATTAATAATTTTATTATAAATAATAAATTATTTACCAAGTTGTAGTAAATGACAATTGTTTTTTTTTTTTTGTCGTTGTTGTCTTGAATGACTCATAATTGAGGTTAAAAACATGTAGGCCACCACATGTAATATGACTCAATATTTCTTTTTAATATATATATATATAATTCATTATAAGATCATTAAAACAAAAAAAAAAAAGATTTAATTCTACAGTTATTAATAATAATAATAATGATGTAATTAATTGAATGTGCAAAAAAATAAACAATTTTAAAAAAAAAAAAAAAAAAAAAACACACAACATCCACTTCTTGTTTAGGTCTAGGTCATTTTAGTTTCGTAACGATGATGATGATGATGATGATTTTAAAATAATATAATATTTTATTTTGTTCTACATTTTTAATATTTTCCCCTTTTTATTTTTAAAGAAAATATTTACTATTTTTAGATTATTATTATTATTATTATTATTATTATTATTATTATTATTATTATTATTAGATCATGAGTGTGTAAAAAAAAAGGAAAAAAGAAAATTGTTCATAATAACCTGAATTTTACTTCGATATATGACAACCGTAACGGGTTTTGCATTTCTTTCTTTTGTTTTTTTTTCTGTCTTTGTCTCGCTCATAATAATTAAAATAATATAATAATTGTAATATAATCGAAAATGTCGCGTTTTTAAAATTTTGCAGACTTTATAATATTAAAAAAAAAAAAAAATTTTAAATTTAAATTCTCATCTGACGCAATTCGAAACATTTTTTTTTTTTTTTTTTTTTTTTTTTTGTCGCCGTCAAA